ACGTAATCGAATTCGACAATTGCAGATGATCATCATTTATCACGTGATTTCCAGCATCAGCCGTTTCCAGCATCAGCCGCGACATTAATTCATCCGTTAAATTTACACTCGTTTCACAAAAAATTAAGATACCCGAGCTTTTAAAAGAAGTATTGTAAAATGTATAAAAAAAACTATTTATCAATTGTGTAACCATATCGGAATCATCTACGAATTTGAACGGTCGCTCCTGTTTTCCAGATAACAAGAAATTATTGGATGCGAAGCATCCAATAACTATATATTATTCAGCATAAAAAATGCGTTTACAACATGTAATGTAACATAATATTAAAAGGTTTACGATTACTTTCTACTAATCCTAAATCATATCATGCTTTTAGATAAAGACTGACATGCGCTTTTCATTCTCCAAACGATTTCACATTGCAGTTAATATATGCTTGGCGACTAAAAAGGTCTGTTCACTTAAGACCTACGAAGTTTAAAGCCAAATTAACATTATAATTAACAATCAATATTAAATATAACATGCATCAATTACAAGATTTTGACTCTTATTAGGTGAAAATCAAACCATAATTTGATTTTGACTCTTATTAGGTGCAAATCAAACCATAATTTCAATTTAATTCCAATTTATAATTTTATTATATATCTATTCTTAATAACAGGTGAATTAAATTAAGAGTTGAAGTCTATTTGATTATTTAACTGTGACTTTATAGAGCTAATGATGCTGCTAATTAGAAACAGACATAAGAAAAGATAATACGTAAAGAAATAATTATTGTGAAAAATGTATTTATGGATTTTGTACTTTAATATATGATATAAATTCTAGCTATTATGATTGAGATTAGCAATTATATAAACTAGAAAATGAAAACTATACATAAAAATATTGATAGAATTCAACGTATAAATTTATCAATCTTCATTTCCGTGTACAATTATCAATAAGTCAAATTTGATATTGATAAAGTGATTGCACATAAGTTAGCAGCTGTTGATTAGTAAAATATATATTTTAATATATTTTAAGGTTATGATTGACTAAAAACAACGAAATAAATGTTTAGTTGGAAAAAGTAACCTAAACTTGAACATACGATATGAGTGCAGCATTACTTGAATGTGTGCCAGGTTTATTGCGCAAAATAAATTCTTTAAAATTCGTTCATATTAGAGTTAGGGTTTGTGTTATAGGCTAGAGAAGGGTAGTTTATATAGTAAAATTGCCCAAAGAAAAACTTTTTGTCAAAGTGTCAAAAGTGGTTTCTTATGTAGAATTTTGATAAGTAAGCGAAACAGACATCTGTTTTGAACTTTCTTGATTGTGTTGCATTGCACTTGATCTTAAATCTGATTTATAATTCAGTAAATCTGCGCCACAAACCTGGCGCACATAAGAGTGAAAACCTGGAAACCTATCATAGTAAATCATTAAATCTGTTTCCAGGTTTTCACTCTCACGCACAATAAGCAATCTATAAATGTAATTATCATCATAAAGGAGTAGTGTTTGTAGTCAATTTTGCATTAGTCGATTTTATCAGCTTAGCTGGCTTAGTCAGCCGATTTTTCAAAAATCGACTTAGTCGATTTCATATTTGACTATATTGAAAATTACAGTAACCAATCAAATTTAGACCGATTTGGTAGTTTATATAATCCTCCCTGAAGAAATTCAATGAACATAAGGCCATTTGAAGTTGATTCTTCGGTTAACGTCAACTTTTGAGCTCGGACAGAGGGGGGTATAACAAATTAAACAAATTAAACAAAAAAATTAAACAGGCCAATCACAAGATGAGATATGATTGGATAACAATATTACAATATTGTGATTGGCTTGTTCGTTTTTGGGGGGATGACCAGGAGGAGGGGGGGGTTACGTTAACCGAAGAATCAACTTCAAATGGCCTAAAATACAATGAAACAATTCAATAATTTCCAAAAGTTTAAGATAAAGATGATCGACTTCAACTTAGTTGGCAAAGCCTAGTTTTTAATTAAGTCGATAATAATGATCAACTACAAACTGGTACATATGTATGTACCAAATTCAATGAGTAATTGACCAATCATATCTATTTTTAAATCACGTGCTTTAATTAACCAATTAGGATGATCAACTACAACTTAGCTGGCTAAGCCGATTTTTAAATATCGACTTAGTCTAGTCGATAAATTTGGATCGACTACAAATGGGTACGTACATACATCTATGCCCGATTTGGAGGTGGCTAAAGCGGAGCGAGCTTTTGATGATCGACAGATGATCGACTAATCAAATTGTGAAATTTTAGCCATCCCGGATCAGTCCGACGAAACAAAACAAGTGAAAAAAAAGAGAAAAACAAGAAAATACAAGAAACAATAGTCATAACCTACTTTGGTACGTTAATAAAAAATGTTGGAGAGGCAATTTTACCTATAACGCCTCTTAAATATAACATCAAAATGGCCCTAACCCTAACCCTAATATTAAATAAATGCTAAATTAGATAAAATTTCTAAACTCGCTCCGCTTTAGCCGACCCCTAATTAGATAGCAAGATCAGGTGTAACGTAAAATTACGCTCTTTTTGTTTTTTTTTGAAAAATCATTGATAACTCGAAATTTTACTTATAAAACTGCCTTCTGCGTACTAACAAAAAAAATTCCACGCTGAATTTTGGTATAGGACACGCTATACTCACGCACTAATCCTAACCCTAACGATAAGGTTTATTACTTCGAATCGTACACTTATTCGATTGTTTTGATTTTGATTGGCCAAAAGTCACGTGTCTGTCACTTTTTTTTCGCCATGGCTATTGGAGCAGTACGTACGTATAATAAAAATTTTGCTTTCACGTATAATTCTACGATTTTTATTAATATTTTTATAAAATCTTTATTTTAGCATTTAAATTTAATTAAGTTTACAACGCTATTCGTATCATAACGATAAATTCCGTTTTATCTGAACAGATATGTTATCTTTAATTTTGCCTATGAAATCGCTCCAAGAAAAAAGATTCCTTGAAAAATTTTTGTGTTCACTATACCAATTATAACTTAATACTAACTTTCATACTAACTTTCCCTTTATTCAATTGTTTTTACGTTCACAAAGTTTTTTTTGGACATTGATCTATTAGGACGAACACAAAATAATGCTACTCATTAGTCATTGACATAGTTATCATTTGATTTGATTATTCAGTTATTCACTTTTGCGAATTTATACAAATGGAAAACGACAATTCTAAAGCATCTAAAGCAGCGGCAATTCTTCGACAAAGATCATTACTTTTTTGGTTAGAATTGAGCCAAAAAAAACCGAAGACGACAGCAAGGCTTTATGAAAAGTAAGCAAACTGCGTTTGAAAAGGATCATAAAGAGTTAACCTTTGTTTGACAGAGCTAATTATTGCAGTACAGTGATTCAAGGAAATTTCCAAGCAACAGACGCAATGGAATCTAAGTTTCGGTTTGACAACTGGGAATCACCAGTTGGAATTTATGATCACGTAGTCATTCGTGGAACAGACGTAAGAGTATTAGAAATCGAATACTCGAAAGAATAATTTAATTTGAAGGTAGACTTTATTCTCTATTCATCACCAGAACTTTCACTATCTTCTTCCTCTTGCTGTTGCTCTTGTTGCTGTTGTTGTTGCACATCAATCCCCTTCTCTGCCATTCTCTTCTTTTTTGCTTCAAGTTTTTGTAACAGATTTTTTGCTGTATTAAATATACCATTAGTAGAAGCTCCACAAGCATAGCACTTTGGACTTTTAGCAAAATTCTGTAATGCGCATTTTTCACAAAAATAGTGACCACATCTAAAATCAAGAAAGGAGTTAATTATATTATAATTATATTATAATTATTATTATAATAATAAAATAATTTTAATCAGATCAGAAGCATATTATCATCAATACGATTTGAACTCAGAGAGATTCCTATTTTTGCATATTAAGCATCATCGTATCATTTGCAAAAATGAAAAAAACAAATATTATGTAGTACATACCTCGTAATCACTGGATTCTTATATTCTTGCCTACATATTATACAGGCAAAAGGCAATTCTTCATCGCTTTCATCACTACTTTCGATAAGAAATTCGCTTTTATCTTGTCGAATTTTTCCCTGCATTTCTTCCCATTCTCTTTCTAATTGCCATCCAGATTTATAGTCACCTCTATCATGCAAGAATCACCATAACCACAATAGCCAGTTTCTAAAATTGAAATTAAATTTAAAAAAACATAATAATAAGAAAAAAATTTTTTTTTCAAACATTTACCTTTATAATCTTTACATATATCTGGTTGATAATCAAATCGTGAAGTAACACGAATATTTATAGGTGCACGAATTGGACCGGCCTATAAATTAATTAAAAAAATTAAATTGGATAAGAAAAATTATTTAAATTGAGTAATAAAAATTAATTATTCAAATTGAATAAAGACGAGATAGTTTATATGAAATTAGATAAAGACGACATATTTTATATCAAATATGATACATACTTTATTTTGAACTTGCGGCATTTTCTGCAGCGGTATCACGTTTTTTTATGTATGTTTTATATAAGCATTTTGACCTTTATAAAGATCGTCCTCATCAGCCTGAAAGGAAAAGAAATATAGGGTTAATTACTAAATATATAATAATATAATTGGTCAAATGGAAAAATAGAACAAACTTCTTCGGCAGCTAACAATGCTTGCGCATCACGATCAGTTTCCCATTCGGGCTTTCGTGTAGGATATGGCAGACTTGCGGAAAAGGTGACATTAATATCATCCGTGTTTTCCTTTTTTTGTACCTTGTACAAAAGGATGTGAAGGATCTAATTTACGTTCTTTTGTTATTACTGCTGAACCTTCAGCAAATTCTGAGAATGCATCAGGCGATGGTGATTTCTTGCGTTTACGTACGTTTTTACCAAGTTCATTTTTCTTGAAGAAAGTAACATTTGTTGTATCTTCGGTCAAAGGAGTAATTGAATCTTTTTTTTTTTTATATTAGCGTTAGAATTAGAATTATTAAGGTTTTATCTGAAATAAAATTTGTCTTAAGGGTCATTTCATGCCGTGACGTGACAAGGAAATTTCATCCATAATACTGTAATATAAGGCTTCGACTTCGAAATACTCTATTTTGAAATCGAAAAAAAATTAACCGCGCCTAGGTCTAAAAAAAGCTTCAATGTAACACTTGTTCAAAATTTTTGCACTCATTGAAACCAATTTAAAATGAGATAACTTGGTTTTTTTTTTATTCAATTACTTCGTATAAAATTTTTTTTTTCAAACTACGTCAAAAATCGGCGTGCGTACGTAAGTACGTACTTCCCCCCTAACAGCTAAATATATTACAATTTGAGCTTTCATATTTATATTCGTCAAGACTTTAGTTTAAAAGATGATCACTGAATTCAAATAACAACATTTTCAATTATATACTTATTTTATTTAATGTTAAGCACGTAAAAACTTTTTTTTTATTTGATTTTTGAACATATATACATTAAATAAAAAGTTCTCTAAGTTATAAAGCTAATTACGTAATAAAAAAAAATTCAAAATAAACTTTATAAAAAGATCTAAAAAATATAAAATTAGAGTAAATAAAAAAAACATAAGATTTATAAACCATTATCGTTATCTCAAAAAAAAAACTTTACCGTTACTAATTTTCGGAACCATATTTAATATTCTAAAGCACAACCTTGTATAAATTTCTGGTACGTCGTAGGAATTTCGAACCCTGATATAAAATTAAAAAAAAATAAAAGATTAATAAACTATTTATATATCATTTGATATATATCATTTGATTTAAAAAAAAAAAAGAAATAAAAAAGAAACGGGTTAAGCATCCATTAGTTGGTTATCCGGTCACACCACGAGGAGGT